CTTTCCCTCTCTCCCTCCCCCCATTTTGGAGAGCACTCAGGCAGCCTCATCACTTGAATAATTAGAAGGTGCCAGATGGCCGTAAATATGCTCACAATCCTTCTTATCCAGTTCCCTTCTCTCTGGAAGCCTTCTCGCTCTTCCTGGGAGCAAGCACCTGGCCTGTTCCCATTTGCTGACATCTTCCACTCTGCTCTTTTGATCTAAAATCGCTTCCTCTGGGTTTTATTTTCAATCCAGATGTAAAGGGGAACTCTTCAAGACTGTGCTTTATGCCAGGTTAATATTAAACAGCCACCAATTAATTAATACTAGACAATTCCCTCCGTAGCTATTTCATACAAAGCCCTGGAAGCTCTTTTCAGAGAGCGGAAATCCTGTTCTCTTCACTGGAGTTTTCCTGTTGTAGCTGTGATGGTCCAAGGCTGTGAGAGAAGCAAGATGTAACATGACTTGATACCTAAAGGCAACAAATAGACTTTGCGTTTGTCCTGGGAGAAAGCACAGTGGCTCAGATGGTCATCTCAGGACAAACCCTAGCAAGGTTCACAGGATAAGAGGCACTAGCAGTTTATCCTGGGAGATTATCAAGAGCATCTGAACACTCATCCTTGTCACTGGGTGCAGCTACACGTGCCATTAATGCACAGTAATGTTACTGCACATTAAAAAAGGAATGGGTCTACATGTGCCCCGGTCTGGGAGCAAATTTGCTCCCAACTGGAGCAGGTGAACCCCAGGATCTTCTTGCCCACCCCCCACCCTGATCTGCCCTGTTGCACCAGCCAGGGGGAGCTCCACGCTGCCCCAGGTGCCAGCCTGGGGCTGGCAGGGGGCTGGGGACTGGCGGACTGCTGCATCCAGCCACCTGAGGATCAAACCTACTCCCCAAGTGGCTGGGAGAGGTGTCCCCATGGGAATTTTTCCTGGCAGCCACGTGGTGATCGGGACCCTCTCAATCCCCACGTGGCTGTCCCCACCAGGTGGGGATGCCTCTCCCCACCACCAGACCTGATCCCCACCTGGTTGGGATGCAGCAGTCCCAGCTGCAGCCTCCCAGCCATGTGGGGATCGGGACGTCCTGATTCCCATGTGGTGGGGAGACAGGTGCCCCTGCAGGCAGCACATTTCCAACCACATGGGGATTAACCAAGCAGCAGTGGGCCCCCTGCTGCCTGGGCTGAGCAGGAGCAAATTGCTCCCAGCCGGCATCTACACAGTAGCTAATGCGCAGTTAATCTACTACCTATATTTTCAGATAGTAGATAACCGTGCATTAGCCTATTTTACTGCGCAGTAGCCCAGGGCATGTGTGACAGGGCACTGTTTCTGCCTGCCACTTTAAGATCAGAGCCAAACAGCCAGCAGGTGCTTGATTGAGGCAGCCACCTAAAACTGCACCCTGCTGGGAGTGGGTGGCCTGGGGGGGCTCTCAGGGGAGCCCCCAGGAAAGGCCAGGCCAGTTACCACCCCAGTGAAAGGCGGGTCAAGGCACCTTAACCTCAGCTCCCACCCAGGTGGGTCACCCGCTAGTAGGGCCCAGAGGACAGACCCCAGGAGATAGAGTGGGGCTAGAGACTCAGAGACCTGACAGAGAGAGTACCCTCAACTGGTCAATGCTGGGGCCAAGACCAGACCAGTCAAAGGGCCAGGGGCCCACCGTAAGGGACAGCCAGAGCTAAGAGGGCCTGGGGTTTCTGACTGGCCTTGGATGCCCCAGTGAAAGGCGGGTCAAGGCACCTTAACCTCAGCTCCCACCCAGGTGGGTCACCCGCTAGTAGGGCCCAGAGGACAGACCCCAGGAGATAGAGTGGGGCTAGAGACTCAGAGACCTGACAGAGAGAGTACCCTCAACTGGTCAATGCTGGGGCCAAGACCAGACCAGTCAAAGGGCCAGGGGCCCACCGTAAGGGACAGCCAGAGCTAAGAGGGCCTGGGGTTTCTGACTGGCCTTGGATGTAAGGCCAGGGCCTGTATGGCCAAAGGTCCCGGGGGGACCACACCCAAGAGGGGAAAATAGTTTCAGGGAGCTAGATGGCCTGTATGAAGGCTGGGTAGGCCGCTGGAATGGAGGGATCTTAGAGGGGTCCTGATCGGAGAAGTCTGGGGCCTAGCATGGGGCCGGTGATTGTAAGAACCATGGATGCCATCTGCAAGCCATGGACTGCGGTGTAGGGGAGGTATGGAGCTGCAGATAGCACCCCCTGGCACCGGGGCAAGAAATGGGCACCTTTCCACCTAATTAAGATAATTAATTAATTAACAACAAGGCATGGCAGGCGATAAGGCAGGGGGATGGCCCAGAGCAGGTGGGCAGGCCAAAGGCAAATCGGCCCCGAGAAGGCCTCCTGTTACAGCATGCTTACATAGTGATGCTTCACTGCACAGTAGATTAGTCTTTTGCGCAGTAAAACGTCTTGTGTAGACACACCGGCTGAACACTACTGAAGTCAACTGTGTGACTGTATTCTACCCACTGCAGAGTTCATCTGAGTCCCAGGGGGGCAAATTTCACTGCTACTGAGTCCCAGTCTCATTTTCAGAACCCGTCCATTGCCATCTCAAGGCCATTTTATGCAACATAACTATGGACCCCACCTGCACTACAAACACACAAACTCTGATATGTCACACTCCTAAGAGGGAGGCTTGACTCTCCGCTGATGTTATCACGGCATCTTTGTGCTGGAAGTCACGCTGGGCATTTCACCAGAACAGATTTCCACTAGACTTCTCTGAATCCATGAAAGCTTTCTCCCTGCCCCACAATTATAGCACATCGCCTTTAAGCAAGAGAAATATTTCCATAGAGGAAAGAATGATAAGTGGCTAAGTGAATCAGAAAGAGGAAGCAGCAGTGAACACAGGGCACTTTTGCTATTCTTTTTTTTTTTTTTTTTTTTTTTTTTTTTTTGAAAAGGAAGCATTGCAAAGAAATCTCAAAACAGACACGATGACAGTTTTAAACAAATGAAGAGGAATAAAAACAGGTCACGAGCTGGTTCAGATCATTCGTTTAGGCTGCGAAAGGAGCTACAGAGCATAATTTCCATGTCAGCATCAGGGGTCACTGGGTTAGCAGCAGATGAAGAGGCTCGAAGGATGATACATGCTATTTTTCACATATTAGGAATACATTCATTTGAACTGCTGCCTGTATTTTTGTTGTAAAAAGACATAATCAGCTCTTTCCTACCCAGACACCTAATCCCTGACCCTCCATCTCAGAGTTCTTCACCTGATTCTGTAGAGTTAATTTGGTCTATTTAAGGAGTTTCTTGCTCTGCACTTGAGACTGATCTCTATGAGCAGGCACCTCTGGGATCTGCTCCGACGTCTGCTCTTGATTTGCTGCGTAATGCTGAGCCAGGCTCTGTACAGGCCTGGGATTCCCCAAAGATAAAAGGCAGCCCACTTTGCTTGTTTACTCAGAAAAATTGAAAACTTTAAACAATGCTTCCAAAGCACTTTGAGAAACTCCTCCAAATGGTTCTAGAGAAAGTCTAAGTCCTCCTGTGCTGAAATCCCTTCCACATTTGTGCTTATTGTAGGATGCCGGTAGCAAATGGATTGGACTGTCTACTAGGCCCTTTTTTTCTCTCTCCATCATTTTTTATGTTGTGTCCATCGCCTTGGCATTTACAGTCTCTAACTCCTGAGCCTATAACCATCAACGTGAAATTCAACTCTGTATAGAAAGCCAACACACCACTGAGCTCCTCACCTAGCATCTGTTCTGTAGTAGAACACAATAGTGACATGAGAACCTATATTATAAACACACACACACACATATATATACATATGCATACACATACATACATATAACCCATTAAATATATATAGAGGAACCTATATAGTGTAGAGCCGTGGAGCCAGCTTTTTTGGCAGGTGTGCCACAAATTAACTTCATACCCTCCCTGAGTGCCACTCTGATCCCCTTCCCCTGCCCTATCTGATGCTCTGCTTTCTGTTCCCAGCCCAGTGCTCTCTGCCTGATTTGCTGTTCTGCTTTCTGCTCCCTGCCACTGTGCTGCCTGTCCCCCACTGCTTGATCTGCTGTGTGCCACAGGTTGGCCACCCCTGGTGTCAAGTATAGATTAGGGATTTAGGTTAGAAATACGGTCAAGAAAATAAGGTTTATCAGTGAAAAGCACAAAGGCTCGGATATGACATCTGCTGGACTTGATGATCTTGCGAGGTCTCTTCCAGCTCCTAACTTCTATGAATCTATGAACTGTTGGTATGGACCACTTGGTCTGAAGAAAAGTAACCTTGCAAATATTCAAGTGAAGGAAGAAACTTGGAAGGCAGTAATACTGAGAGAGACTTAACAGCAACAGTCGATAGCAAATCAGGTAATAGTTTGCAATTCAAGCTGGTACCTGCTCAGATAAGATGCTCTGGCCTTCAGCTCTGTGCAAATCAAATTGGGGTTCTGCAGCTCCAGGAGCTGTCCAAACACTGACTGAGCTCTGTTTCTGCCCTGAAGAGCTTACTACCCCTAGAGACAAGAGAGATAAAAGGTGAATTATTTTACAGGAGGCAGACAAGGTTCCTTGGGTGAATCTGATATCTTTTATTAGACCAACCTTTTTTACAGGAAGCACTTGAGATTGAACAAAGTGCTCAAGGTCACATAGGGAAGCTGCAACAGAGCCAGGAGCTGAGATCTAAGCCAGCATCTCCCATTCAATGTTATTTATTCTTTCTGATTCCCAACTGTCTTTGCCCAAAGCAGTATTAGGTCCAACTTGGACTTCCTTTCCTGGGTCTTCTGGCCAAATTGGCAATAGGAAATCCGGTGACCTGACTTATACGTAAAAGGGTCCCTTAGAGGGAAGCCATCTGTGTCTCCTCTCCCTTTGATTTGAGCTAAATTCAGAGATGCTTTGAAATTCAAATCACCTAAGGACTGTGGAAGAGGCGGACATGAATTTCCTTGGGAAGGGGAGGTGGCGGTTTAACATCACGGTGATTTTTAGACACCCGATTTTTCAAGCTTATATGCATGCACCATCCCAGTCATAAGCAAATAGTTGCCCAGTCCAAAGAAGTTGTGCATTTATTCCCCATGTTTGTTCAAATCCCTCTTTGTCTCCATATACCCAACCTATCATTAGGGAAATTGGTTTATCTGTTGCCTTGCACAAGTCTGCTAAGTACATTTCCCTCCGGCCATTTGTTCCCTCCCCTGTTTGCTGGGCAACAGGAAGCAGAAATGCAAATAAATCTGATTCCATGTTCTCCAGGTAGCAGTTGTCTGTACCAGCAAGTCCATCACCCCTCCTCTGTCTGTAACCACGTGTCCACTTTGGCTAGGATTCTGTCTCTAAGCATCAGGTCTTAGTCCTCTTATCCATCCAGGAGTGGATTGCAGCCACTTCTGGGGTGGTGTATGGCAGCTGCTAGACAGCACAGTTATAGGACAGGAACTAAAGGAAAACCACTCAAACAATTGAAACTGCACAGGGTGGAGTTTAAGCAACCATGCAATTGGTCAGGGTTGAGCAGTCCTGCCAGGAGAAATATCACTCGCACACAGCTGAGAATCCTGCCGGCCTTTGCAGGTACCGCGGAAGTGATTCCTATGTCAGAAGAAAGCATGACTTACCCACCGATTGTGCTTGGAAAAGTGGCTGTAAAATAACAGGCTACAGACATGCTCCCTACCCACGCTTTCTCTCCCCTCTACAGCCCTGACAGGTCCTACCTTTTCCCCCTTCAAGACAACCAGCAAGCATTCCTTGCAAAATCCTCTTCAGCCTCAGGGGCGCATCTACACATGCGCTTTAATGCACAATAGCCTATTTTAATGCGCATTAAAGCGTCACAAAAAACCCATGTGCTTTTGCTACTGCACCCTAAAATAAGCGAATGAACCCTTTTCTAGTACCTCACAATGGAGGTACTAAATTTAATGCACATTAGCAAAAGCACGTTGATGAATGTGTAGATGCACCCAGGAACTGTTAGAGCCTCTAAGTGTCCCTCAGCTTTATTCCCATGCCAAGGGCCTTTGGGACTCCAGGGCTCCTTCTAGTATTACCTGCAGGCCAGATCTGCACTACCAAAACCTTAAATGCTGCGGTCTGCAAGTGGGAGAGAAACAGTGGGAGAAACCCTGGTCAGACCCAGATCACTCTCCCTCTCAGCATCTGTTCCCTGCCCCTGAGACACAGGAGACTGGGCAAGACGGACTCAGGCTCGGACCCGGTCAATGGCAGTTTTTATGTTTTTATGGTCTAACTCCACTCTGAGGGGATGGATATAAGAATACCAGCAAACCCCTGGACACTGCTCTCTTGGTAGAAGATGGTTTGATGCTCATAGGAAAGTTGGGTTGGAAGGGACCTCACAAGGTCACATCTAGTCCAGGCCCCGGCTCAAGACAGGATGAGCCCTGACAGCCTTCCCAGCTCGGCATCTGTCCAACCTGCTCTTGAAAACTTCCAAGGACAGAGATATGTCACAGTTTTTCTGGGCAGCCTGTTCCAATGTTTGACCACCCTCAGAGTCAGGAAGGTCCTCCTCATCTCCAACCTCAATTTCCTTTGCTGCAGCTTGAGGCTGTTGCTCCTAGTCCTACTCCTTATGGACACAAAGGAAAGCCCATCTCCACTGCATCTATAATCGCCCTTCAGATCCCCTCTCAGTCTTCTCTTCTCCAGACTCAACAACCCTAGTTCCTCATCCCAGGGCCCTGGTCACTTTTCCAGCATAGCTATGGCAGTATAGCGTGGCCTTCAGCCTTGGGAAGAGCCCCCCCGTTCCAGCCTGGCAAGAGCCCAGCCACTGTTATCTAGACTCCTTTGAAGTTGCACATCGGAGACAGACTTATCCGTGTCAGTCTTTTCTGTATTCTCCTCAGGTCTTTAACGGCCGCTTTACTGCCTCCCTGGATTTCACTCTAGGCATCCAAGCAACCAGCAATATCAGCCTGGCCAGAGATGGAGTTACACATCTGTATAAGAGATAATCCAGTCACTTCTGTTATGGGCAAGGGCTGCAGGCAGGAGAAAGTGCAGAGACCTTCTTAGAGACGAGACGATAGCATTGCTACCTCTCAGGATTTTACTGGGAGCCTCATGGTTTTGTTAAAACCCTTGGCTGCTGAGGGATGTGAAGGAGAAGAGGCTTCAAATCCTCCTGATTTCAGAGAAAAGCTGGGAAAGGGACATCACCAGCCCCTAAGAGGATCAGGAAGCACAAAGGGGCACGGTGATAAGGACCCCCATGATGTTCAGTGCGGTCTCATGAGTCCAGGACCTGACTCATGGGGTTTTTTCCCAGCATGGGCTAGAAGCACCGAGATTATAGATAGCAACAAGCGGGTGGGAAGGGAGAGAGCAAGGATGACTGGCGCAGAGGAAGTGAAACGCTGCTTCAGAGAAATGACATGATTTCACAAAACCCAGCCGTAGCTCCCAGGTGCTGGCTCCAAACATTCAGCCGCATTTGTTCCTCCCCTTCCCTCTCCCTCTCAATGGCTTGGAAGCAATTGAGACTATTTTCTTCTTACTTCCTCTTGATACTAGTAAGGCCACAGCACAAGCAGCCCAGGCCAATGGTTAGGACATCAGTGCTAACAGCTAAGAAGGGTACCAACCTGAGATGAAGCATCTGCATTCGAGAGAGAGGCAGGAACCAGGCCTGGCACGCTGAAACCAAAAGCAGTTGTTTGACCTTAAATACAGCCCACAGCCAATCAGGCTGGTTAACAGGCTCCAGCTGCAGCTAACCGGCTGGTCAAAGTGCTTAGTGCCGCACCGATTAACCTCCGCAGCGGAGAGACTGACCTTTACAGTGATGGATTCAGGCATCGAGAGGAAGAGCCCCAACTCAAAGGACCTGAGTGATGGCTCCATACACAGCAGAGGCCCAGGCACCTGGGGTTGTTTCCCAGCTCTGCCACTTACTTCCTGTGTGACCTCGGGCAAGTCACTTAATCTGCCTGGATCTCACTTCTCCACCTGCACAAGGGAGGGACACTGCTGGTTTGTAGGGGTGTGAGGCCAACAAATACATGGAAGGATTTTTAGTGCATGTACCTGGGATAATATACACAAACCAGATCAGGATCAGGAGATTAACGATGAAAGATGTTCTTGATTATAAACTCGTCTCCTCTTTTGATAGCCAGCCACAGTCCTTGGATGGGTGCTGGGAAGCTTTAGACTACAAACTGCAGCATCTAGGGCCTGCTAATGATCTCCGAGCTACCTGGCGAGTCGAGCTGAACCATCTGCTCAGGAATTGGATTTCCTGGCAGGGATACGGCAAAATGCCATCTTTCCCTGGAGCACCTCTCGGCTGGGAGATCAGCTCCCCCTCACTTGATTGCCTGAGCATCCTGGAGTCGAGATGTCTGGTCCGAGCGCGGGGAGGGGGACTGGTGGGTGGATCTGTGACATGATGCAGTTTAATCCCAGATCTGGCGTGAGCAAGAGGACAAAGCAGCCACCAGAGTGATCCAGCCCCCGGCTTCACAGACTTCCAACCGTATTGTTATCCTCAGCCGTGCTTTTCAAGTCCTGAAGCTTCCTAGCATTTGGCCACCTCCCCGTCTCGTCTTTCTTCTGACGAGCTGGAAGCCCTTAAGCAGTCAAGCTTGACGGCAGCATGGGGAGTGAACGAGGGAGATCACTGCACTCCCTGTTAAATGCATCCACCTCTGTGGCGGGACACGGCAGCCCTTTAACAGCAAAGAGCAAGGCTTGTGCAACCTTCGGTGGTCACAGCAGCCAGCATCTCGGCTTCATTGGTCATCTCCGGTAGCGCAGGACGGGGCATTGGATCGGTTTTCACCAACTGAATCATCAAAGTTCGTGCTTCAGCGGCCTGGGTTTCCCTTGGAGAGGTCTTGTGCCTAAGGAGTTTCCTGGCTGACCCTGTTACGCACATGACTGTTCCCACATCGCTGCCCCCTCCTGCCTCATGGCTGGCAGCCGCCCTCAGTCTGAGCTTTCCCATTTTCTCCTTTAAACAGTTGCGACAAACATTTGCCACCCATCTGCTGAAGCCCAGGCCTTGAAAGTACAGCTTCTACCCTCCCCTGCCCAGGAGCGCCAGCACTTGCAGGCTGTCCAGCATCATACTGTCCCATTGCTAATTCTTCCAGCTCCGAATAATCACCCTCTGTCTGCCTGTGACGCTTGTAGAAACCTTTTATTCTGACCACAGCGCTATGGCACGTCTCCCCTTTATCAGCCTGGAGGGGAGGCTTTCCAGAAATACATGGCTCTTTTGGGAAGAGGCAACAGTCATTGATATGCATAACTCTCAGGCCACTGGTGTCATGAGGGTCAGGGCACCAGCATTTAGTGCTTTGACTTGTTCAACCCCTCTCAGACACTCCGGGAATTCAGAAACGGAGAAACCATTTCCTTCGGCTTCCTTGCAGCCTGGAGATTTGGAACAAGAGGGAAAAAAAAACCCAGGATTGTTTGGCCTTCGCGTCATCACAATAAATCCAGTAGAAGGCACCTATTTATTTATCTCTGAAAATAGGTTTCAGAGATATGGCAAATCGTTGGCAGAATTCACTGCTGAACTTTTATCAATTCAAAGGAAGCACGCCTGAAAGCACAGCAGATCCGGTCCGGTCTCAGCTCTTGGTAGGAATATTGCCAAAAGGAAGAACAATACACCGCCATGATCCCCACCCTCTTCCACCCCATGTTATTTCACAGCACCATCTCCCTCCTGGCTATAAAGCAAAGAAAAATGGTCATGGTGTCCTGAGACGTCCTAGTGCTTCCTCTGAACAGCATGTCCAGTCACCCAGGTCCTTTCACCCCTTTAAATGTTCTTTAAACTAATCTCACTGTATCCTATCCCTGGGGAGGTGGGTAACAGCTCATTTTACAGACGGGGAGACTGAGGCACCGGAGATCACATCTGTCATCCATTGTTACAGAGGGATTCAGGGCCCCTGGATCCAAGTTTCATGCTCAGGAAGCTGCTCTGGAGCATTTCCATAAGCTAACTCTGCCAAGACAGAAGGCAGGACTTGCTACTACCACAGAGCCTGGAGGCCAAGGGTTTTCATAAGATTCAAAGAGGGATTGAGCACTTGTCTGGATATCAGCAATATTCATTTACCGTCACACATTATCACCCCTTGGCAAGGGACAGGAATCCTCCCACATGGGCGTTCAAGCCAGATCCAACTATAAAGACCCAAGGGCAAGGCCTGATTTGGGAGGCAATTTATTCTTCCGCTTCCCTTGGTAGCAGCTGGGTCTCATCCCTGGTGAAGGCTGGATGCTGAGCCAGGTGCGTTCAATCCAGGCTGGCAGGTCCCGGGTCCCTATAAATTAACTTTGCCCGTGGTCTCAGAGCGGCTGGCTGAGAGCGCCTGAGGCTCTACATTAATTTTGTCCATAGGTGGTAGGTTGGAAATCAGTCTGATGTCTGTGGCCTGTGTAAAATGTCTCATGTTCAGTCCAGTTCTGGTTCTGCATCCTCGAAGCCACTGCTACCAGTCGGCAGTGTGGCAGAGACTGAATGGACATGCCTAGGGTGGGCCCTTCCACAGCGATGCTGATAGAGGAGGGTGTGCAGACAGCTTGCTCAGAGAGAGAAGATAAAGACCTCAGGATGCTCTAGAGGGGAGGGCAGTTGCCTTGGACTTGGGAGACAGCAGACCAGTTCCTTCTCCCACCGTGATCACCCTGTGTGGTGTTGGGCAAGTCACAGAGACCTCGTTCCTCCCCTTACACTGTGGATTATGGCTTCTCCCTGTCTCCCATGATAACCAGTTCATTCGGATGCTCACCTGTGCCATCCGAATGGGGCCCAGCATCCACCTCCGCAAAGCCTTCCCTGCCCATCAACTTCCTCCCACAGATCTGGACGTGAGCCTGCCATCACAGCACACGGCGGTCCTTTTGTGTCATTCCCTTCTTAGACACGTCCGCGCCCTGCAACAGCCCTAGGTAATAGCTGGTCTGCATGGACGCACGTTATTACAGACGGCTGTGGGTCTCGGCTGTCATCTGCCGCATTACGGTCAATCTGTGCTGTTTCTTTGCTCTGACAGATGCTATCCAAAAATAAATAGGCCTGCACAGTTGCTTCTCATAGACAGAGAAATTAACCTGCCTGTGTTTCGCCATAAAAATATTAGTAAAAACCTGGAGCCTAACCAAATTACTGCCAGTTTCAATTACCTGCAGTGTAATGAAAAAGCCCAAGCTCGGTGCTCAAACTGAGTCCAGAAATGGAAGATGGTTACAGAGCGTGATGCTGTTACCTCCACCGGAGCCCTGACTCAGGAAAGGACATCGGCGCAGGATGAAAATTAAGCACTTTCTGGCTTGAATAGAGAAGTGATTTCTGAATTTAGACCTGTATGTAGGAGCCCCTGGCCATTTGTAGATGACACTTTTTAGCCGGTATAAAGCGGCTTAAATGCCTTTTGCACCACTTTAATGGCATTGCTGTTTGCACATTTGGCGGCGTATTGCGCATTAATTCCAGCCACTGGAGCACATTCGGCGGCGTAATGCGCCTTAAATGACTTTGGGACGCAGCAAATGACTTTGGGGTGCTGCAAAGTAAAACACCTCCGAGGAGTTTTAGTTTCCTACTAGGGCTGTGCAAAATTTTGCTGGGTGTTTCATTTCGAAGCTGTTTTGACGCGTGTAGAGCTTGAAACAGTGAAATCAAAATGAAACAAAAGGCTCCGAAACAGCTTTGAAACAAAACGAGGGCACTCGAAAAGTTTTGAGTTTCGAAGTTGGGCTTACTTGGCTTCAGTGCTGGTCCCAGGCAGCAGTGGCAGCCTCCTCTCATCTGGCGCACAGATCCGGGGCCTCCCGGGGGTGCAGGCCACCAGATCTGTGCGTCAGATGAGAGGAGGCTGCCGCTGCTGCCTGGGACCAGTGACAACAGCAATCTTCCTCGGCGCTGGGTGCAGGCTGTGCCCAGCGCCGGTCCCAGGCAGCAGCGGCAGTCTCCTCTCATCCGGGGAGCAGATCCAGGGACCCGCACCCCCAGGGAGTCCAGCACAGCCCCAAAGCCCTCCCCGGGATGCGGGCCCCCAGATCTGCACACCGGATGAGAGGAGGCTGCCACTGCCGGCAAGAGTCACGATTTTTGCTTTGAACAGTTCGAGGTGCAGTTTCCCAAAAACCTATACACCTATCTCCTTGAACCTTAGCAGGATTCATGCCCTCAGAAGGGGCTACCATCCCGGCAATTTGCATCCTAATCAGGCAAGAAATGACAAAGTTTTAGGCATTTTCATGATTCCCCATTATAGCCTATGGGTGAAACGTCGAAACATGGCAAAACAGCGAAACAGTTTCGACAAAACAAAATGGAACAGTGCTTCGAAACAAAATGAAACGAAACTGTCCCTTCGAAACGGTGAAATGGAAGTCGAAACGAAACGGTGTTGTTTCGCACAGCCCTATTTCCTTCCCTACCACCGCAGAGGGAAGCACCGGGCTCCGTGCGGCCCAGGGGCTGTGCAGGCAGACCGTGCAGGCAGCCCAGGAGCAGCCCAGGAACGCAGGCTCCACAGAAGGGAAAAAAAAAAAGTGGCAAGCCTGATCTTTTTTTTTTCCACCCCCCAGGGCCTGCCTGCCTGCCTAAGCTGCCCGGGGGCCTGGTGCTTCCCTCCGCGGACTGCCCAAGGCGGGTGATGCCTGAGGCCCTGCTGCAGAGGGGAGCACCAACCCCGATCCCCACAGCTTAGGGACCACTCTGCCCGCCAGCAGCTCGCTCTCCCCTCCCCGCCGCTGGAGAGGCAGGTAAGGGTCAGGCTCTCATACGGGTGTACACAACACGGCCGTTTACTTCGCCCTAAATTGAAGTAGTGTTTTAAAAAAAAAACACTTCAATTTAGGGAGAATTAAATCTCCGTGTCATCTACAAATGCCCCCAATATTAAATCCCTTTATTCTAGTAAAAGGCTAGTTTACGGGAAAAAATACCCACCAATAAGTAGTGTTTGGGAACAGAAGCCCTCTGGTGTCAAGCTGGAATTCGTGCCTTGAAGCCCCTGCATCCCTGCATGTCTACGCATATCCTGCGTGCATGTGCAAACTCCCACTCTGTCCTCACAGACACGCATGTATGTTAAGTCAGTAATTAGTACTTGTGAATTTAGGTCAGAGGATTTCAGGAATAGTCTCGCTCTTAAGATTTGGAAGGGGTTTTTTGATTTACTCTTGCGAAGGATTTGCTACAGAAAGAGGCACCATCCTTTCCATTAATGAGAGATGTCCATCCCTTATCAATCAATAAGAGAGCTGAAAGACCCTAGGATTTCAGGCTAACCGCTGGGGAACTCTGTTATAATCAAGCCTGTCTCCCAGGTTCTCTCTAAGGAGGACGTTCATTGGAATCAGATTCACGTATCTTTACTCTGCTGTTCATTGAAAGAGTCTGAGAGTCATGAAAATTATTGAAATTGGAGTGTCGGGAATATCTGCGTTCGGTATAAGTGGCTTCCATTGCACTAAGCACTTTCAAAAGCAGGTGCTTATATACATATATTCAACAAGAAGTAAGCTGCAAGAATTCACTCATAATACATGATACTAAAATGACTAATCTTCTTTTTATCCATCCATCCATCACATCTCTCTTTACCTTCCCTATACATACCTTCTCTATACTCTCTTT